GAGCCCGGCTGACCTGTCTCCCATGTAGACACATTTTTCAAGGGTCTCACAGCCCAATCCAAAGAGCAGACAGACAGAAAAAAAAGAAAAGTTCACTGGAATGGAGTAGTCTGGTCTTTCCTCCTGTCAGCCATGACAGCACAGGGACGTTCATATTGTATTTCTTAACCTGCCTTTTATTTCCTGGCTAAGAGAAGACCAAGCTGACAAATGAAGAACAATGGGAAACTCTGTCCTCTCTCTAGGGGAGTATTTCCTACCTCCACAGAGCCATTCTGCACCTGCTTGTTTGGACACATCCCTGACCGAGGCAAAATTAAAAAAAAAAAAAAAAAAAAAAAAAAAAGTCTCTCTCCTGCCCTTTCAGCCTAGGAGTCCTTTGAAATCTGAGAGGCTGGTGTCAAGGCCCTTGGCCAACTGCTAACACCTATGTAATTATGTCAGGTTTATTTAGAGAAAGAACCAGTGACTCCTCTGGGTCTCTAGGGATGGTATGCCCTGCAAGACACAATTTTCAAGAGGACACTCTGTAAATCCAAGAATAGCTACTGGATGTTGGCAGTGTTCCTTGAATTGACCAGGTTTATTCATTCCTGATTTCACTAGCTGTGGTACCAGCTTTGATCTTTATATAACGCTCATAAAACAAGATTTGTTTTGAACCTACTAAAATGACCAGGCATGTAATGTTTCTCATAATACAACTTATAAAGTTTTATCACTGTCTTTAGAAGGCTATAATGAGCACAAGAAGCCTAAAGCCATGAATATGCTAAATAAGACGTATCATAGGAATGTTAATGAAAGAGCCTTGGGAAGAAGAGCGAAAGGATCATAGAATCATACAGTCATAGAATGGCTGGGTTGGAAGGGACCTTAGAGATCACCTAATTCCACCCTCCCTGCCATGGGCAGGGACACCTTCCACTAGACCAGTTTGCTCAAAGCCCCAAGCCTGGCCGTGAACACTTCCAGGGATGGGGCATCCACAACTTCTTTGGACAACCTGTCCCACTGTCTCAGAAGAAGGTAATCTTTATTCTTTTCTACCTCCACACATGTACCCAGGTCTCCAGCACATCTCCTGCAGGGTATCGAAAGAGTCTGTAGCCTGAAATGCTGCACAGGCCAGGCTGAGAGGTGGAACAGCAGAAAAGGAAGAAATGTTTCCAGGGGTAACTGGAAAAGCTTTCTAGCATGAAAGAGGGGAGAGAGCAGCACAGCTGACCCCATGAGACCTGAGGGAGTTTGTGAAAACCGTTATCCTCATTTTACAGGAGAAAAAATTAAACTGAAAATTACTTTCCCATAAAAAGAGGGATAAAATGATTCATACACCACAGAGTGTGTAAGACGATTTATTCACACAAAGTGGTATATAACCACTATTTCAGAAATGAAGTGATTTAAAAATAAGTACAATTCTTTGCGTAAAAATAAGATAATATGCTATGTTGTCATACCAGATAAAAACACCATGCTAGCTATTTTGAGTACTATTAGTTGGGCTGCAAAAAGGTTTTAAGGCTTGCTGTCATCTGTCCTGCCACTGCACAGAGCCAGCAGTGGCACTGCGTTAAACATAGCTTCTTCCTTGTGTGGTAGGAAATAATATAAAACAACATGAGATGTAGAATAAAGGCATAACAAAGAGCAGTGAAAACAAAACATTGCCCTTTAGTAACAGAACTCCACAGTTTCCTGAAAGAATTAATTTCTGATATAGGGTTTTTTTAAAGCTTTTTCTATGGTATTGTCTTCAGAATTTGAACAATTTCACTAAGAGCAGTTTTACACACCTTTTTTGCCCATCCCTTTTGGAATTGCAAGCCATTATTCCTAATATTATCACTACTTGTTTCCTAACCAAACATGGGGAGGTGAAAGGGACTTCCAAGGACCATTAAGAGAATTAGCCTTTCCTTCAGTATATTTGCTT